ACACACACACACATACTTGTACCCGCTCACTGCTACACACGCACAATCGTACCGATTCACTGCTACACACATGCACATACTTGTACCCGCTCACTGCTACACACACACACTCACACACTCGGACCTGCTCGCTTGCTGGGTTATCTCAGGGGAGCCATTCCCTGGGCGGCACAGCTGGCTCCTCAGGCGGGTGCCCCATGGAATGGACTGGATTTCCGGAGCCCCGGAGCAGAGCTTGCTGCTCAGGAGCGCCAACACCCACAGCCACAGCAGGACTTAGGGGCTGCAGAAGGGTGGACATGCCGCTGGCGAAGCCCTTGTGGCTGGCTGTGCCTCATTTAGCCCCCCTGCTGACAGCTGCTCCAGCCCCGTGGTGGTTGCCTCTTCCCGTGACAGCCTTTGGCCAAGTCTCTCCCAGTCCCCCCCACCAGGGTAACAATCTAACAAATAATTCCAAGCCCTTGTGTGAGCTCTCAGCCCCGACACTGGGCCAGAGGTCCTTCCGCCCCTTGTCTCAGGGCTTCACAGGGCTTCCATCTGCCAAGCTCCACGGTTCTCAAGGTTCACCCTCCTTTCAGGGCAGGGGCTCGCAGGGTCCCCCTCGAGTCCACCGATGAGTCCCCCCAACACAAACTGAAACCACTTCTGCCTCTCTAGGCTGAAACACCTGTTCCTCTTGAGTTTCCCCTGCTGCGCCCCTCAGCTGAATGTCTCCCCGGGCCAGAGCTGGCACCACCGCAGCTTGCTCCACCCTGGTGGCTTCTCCAACTCTCCTGGCCTTTCGCCAGGTTCTTCACTTGAGAGACAATCCCAGGGCCAGCCAGGCTTCCTCTCCGACCCTGCCAGCCTCTCCCCTGCCAAGGGAGGGAGAGCAGCAGCCCTGCCCACCCCCTGCAGCCCTCTTCTGCTCTGGGTAACCACCCAGCTCCTCCCCCAGCAGGGCTCATCTGGAACTGTGCGTGGCCCACGCTCCAATTAACTCTCTCAGAGCCACCCCGCACACCCAGACTGTGACTCACTGAAGCCAATGGGCCGGAGCCCCTTGGCTGGTGCCCATGGGACTCTGCTATCAACTGTGACACAGCTGTGCCGATCATGCCAGGCGAGGCTCCAGCCCCGGAACCACCTGGTTCTGGTGCAGACTAACTGCCGTGCTGCAGAAAAGCTGTATCCCGACGCATCGGGGATTTGATTTGGAGAGGCTGCTTGTGTGGATGACGATGCACCCCCAGGAAAGCTGGCGGTTGCATTCGATTTCGGGCTTGGCTAGATGAACAGTTACTGTGTGCCAAGCAGGGGCGTCAATCCACAGTGCACCAGCCCACTACGCACTAACCGGTCCTCTGATCCCCTCCTGTTTCGAAGTGGGTGGATCAAAGCTCGCTAGGGAACTGTGACGTTGCACTCCATATGTTTTATGGAAATATGCTAATGAGCGTGAATATAATGTAACTGGAATATGCTTGTAAGGTATCATTACAAAGGTTATAATCTACTGAGTGTGTTCATCCTATTTGTATGCATGTATCATTCTTGTATCTGAAGCTAGAAATATAAAGTATAACTCTGAGGTACTATTGTAATTATGCAAAGCGTGCGCCATTGATGATGGTTTAGAATCTTGATGGCTCCCATAGACTAGGACAATTGGTTGTAAATGACTCTGTTTACTTGTAAGCCTTCCTGTGTTCAGTAAGCCAGCCCAGGAAGAATGGTGGAATCCATCTTAAACCTGGCGCTTTTCCATGTAGAAGGAGGGGTGGGGATCCAGAGAGACAAAAGATTCCTGCCTTGTGCCAAAGCTATAAAAGGGGGTGGAAGAGAACACAGGATGGTCCAAGTCATGAGAAAGCCCTTGCTTTTCACCTAAGATTCCTGCTGGAACTAATCAGGACTGTACCCGGGGAAAGGATTGGGCCCAGACCAGGAAGGAGTCTAGTCTGTGAAAGAAGCTTATTGGAACATCTCTGAGGGTGAGATTTACCTGTAAATAGTTTCTTAATGTATTAGGCGTAGACTTGCGTGTTTTGTTTTATTGTACTTGGTAACTTACTTTGTTCTGTCTGTTATTACTTGAAACCACTTAAATCCTACTTTTTATACTTTATAAAATCACTTTTGTTTATTAGTAAACCCAGAGTAAGTGATTAATACCTGGGGGAGCAAACAGCTGTGCATATCTCTCTATCAGTGTTATAGAGGGCGGACAATTTATGAGTTTATCCCGTATAAGCTTCATACAGAGTAAAACGGATTTATTTGGGGTTTGGATCCCATTGGGAACTGGATGTCTGGATGCTGGAGATAGGTGACCTGCTAAGCAGTTTTTGGTTAAAGTCTGCAGCTTTGGGGGCATGGACCAGACCTGGGACTGTATTGCAGCAGGCTAGCGTGTCTGGCTCAACAAGGCAGGGTTCTGGAGTCCCTCCATCCATCCATCCTCAAACACTCCGTCCATCCCCATATGTGTAACCAAAAACTCCATCCATCCCCATACACCCCATCCATCCATCCACATACACCCCATCCATCCATTTATCTCCATACACTGCTCATATCTATCCCCATACACCTCTCTCATACATCCATCCCCATACACCCCATTCATCCATCCATCCCCATACACCCCATCCATTCATTTATCTCCATACACCGCATCTGTCTATCCACATACACCTCTCTCATCCATCCATCGCCATACACCCCATCCATCTATCTATCTAATCTATTGATAGATCTATCCCCATACACCACATCTATCTATCACCTACCTACATTCACCACCATGCATGGAAAGCTGCAGTGAGTCATGCAAAGAACCTGTAGGTCAAGCAAAGATGCTGGCGACAGGTGGAGAGCGGTAGCCATGCATGGGAAAATGGCTGTTCTGCACAGAATGGTGGACAGTCCAGACTGGGAAGAAGAACCAAGGAAGAGGCAGCGTTGCATGGAGAGAAGAGGCCACGCATGCCCCAGTGATGGGGGAAGCAGCAAGCCAGAGGGCAGGACCCTGGTGCACAGGGCCACCAGTGAGCCCTGCTGGAGAAGAACTGATGTGCTGAGCTGACCATGCTTTGGAGCCTGGGTGGGACCTGGGTATGTTCCATGTCCTGCCGTGGACAGCCCTGAGCTTTGCAGTAGGGGGATATAAATCAGTGTTACTCAATGGACTGCAGCAGTGTGAGGTCGATTTACACCAGCTGATTTACAAACCCATCCTCAGGGACTGCCAGCATCTCTGCAACGGAGAGAGGCACTGGCAGAGCTGGGTGTGGGGAGTCCAGGGTTGGGCTAGCAGGAGGCTGTGGGTCAGGATTGAGGGGCACCAGCAGATCTGTGCCAGGGGAAGCTTGCCTGGCCCTTGCTTGTGTTCTGCCCGCCTCTCAGAGCATTATGTTCAGCCACAAATGTTTAATAAGAGAACAAAGCAAAACAAGTAAAAGCCCTGACTGCGCAATATTCCTCATGCTGTCCCCTCCCCCTCCTGGGCCTTTCTGCTTGGCGAGATTAAGTGATCAAATATTAATCAGGAGTAATTATCCCTCCTCAGGTACCGCTCTCCTCCCGCAATGTGTGTTCCCAACCCGGCTCTGCTCCCCGCAACCCCCGCCCCTCAGCTTCCCAGCCGGCATGGAGCCCCACCGGGGGTCACCGGCTGGGGTCAGGCTGGAGCGCGGAGCTGGCGACTGTGCGCGTGGAAAGCAGCTGCTGAAGATTGAGGAGACGGGAGCAGGTGATGGGCTAGGGCTTCTCAATCCATGCAGGGGGAGAGAGGGGATCGGGGCCATGCCAGGAAGGCCGCACAGCACAGGACAGCACTGGGGGAAGATACCATGAGGGAGTCTCCCTGCCCCCTAGCACTACACGGCGGCACTGGGGTCAGCCCATGGGGTGGGTAAACCAACCTCAGCTGAACGCCACGTTCCCCAAACGAGACATGGGTAAACTCGGTTCCCGCTCGACGACACTACTGGGGTCAGCATGGACTGCGAGGGGAGAGCGCCCCCTGCTGGCCCCCACACCTTATAGCACAGCGCCCCTAGCACCGTCCTGGGGTCAGCACGGACAGCGAGGGGAGAGCGCCCCCTGCTGGCCCCCACGCCCTATAGCACAGCACCCCTAGCACCGCCCTGGGGTCAGCACGGACTGCGAGGGGAGAGCGCTCCCTGTTGGCCCCCCATGCCCTATAGCACAGCGCCCCTAGCACTGCCCTGGGGTCAGCACGGACTGCGAGGGGAAAGCGCCCCCTGCTGACCTCCCGCGCCCTATAGCACAGCGCCCCTAGCACCACCCTGGGGTCAGCACAGACTGTGAGGGGAGAGCGCTCCCTGGTGGCCCCCGTGCCCTATAGCACAGTGCCCCTAGCACTGCCCTGGGGTCAGCACGGACTGCGAGGGGAGAGCGCCCCCTGCTGGCCCCCGCGCCCTATAGCACAGTGCCCCTAGCACCGTTCTGGGGCCAGCACGGACTGCGAGGGGAGAGTGCCCCCTGCTGGCCCCCCACACCCTATAGCACAGCGCCCCAGCACCGTTCTGGGGCCAGCACGGACTGCGAGGGGAAAGCGCCACCTGCTGCCCCCCCACGCCCTATAGCACAGCGCCCCTAGCACTGCCTTGGGGCCAGCACGGACTGCTAGGGAAGAGCGCCCCCTACTGAACCACCCACCTCACTCCCTGCAGACACTGGGTTTCCTTGGGAAAGGTCTCCCATCCCAGCAGTGACCCGACCAGACACCCTGCCAGCACATGGGATCCGCTGTGCTCCTGGGGGTGGGGGATGTGTACATGCCCATGGGTGGGAACTCAGCACAGGTCCTTCTTCCCCTCCAGGACCCAGCCTGTCCCGAGGACAGACTCCTCCATCTGCCTCCCCACCTCCCCTTGGGACCCTGCCCAGTGGAATCCCACCCCAGGCAGGTTCTGGGAGTCTCCCACAGCTGCAAGGTGCCCTCCTGCCAGTGCCGGTGAGACCCGCTGGGCGGCACAGTAGCCACAACTCACCCGGCAGTTGCCCAGCTCCTCGGCCGACAGGATGATGGTGCCACACTTTTTCCCTGGAATCCCACTGCAGAAGAAAAGAGAGGGGGTCTGAGCCACTGGGCTGGCCCTGCCCAGAGAGCACCCCCCAACCCTGGGCTGGCCCTGCCCCAAGGTCACCCCCTGGGTCCTGGCCACCGGCCCCGCACACTGATCCCCGGCTGCTGGCTCTGTGCCTGGGGCCCTGCGCCCGGGACTCCGCTGCCCGGCCCTGCACCTGAGGCTCTGCTCCCTGGCCCCGTGCCCACCCCCACCTGTGGCCCCAGTCTCGGCCCCCTTACCCCTGTTTGGGTCCCCCACTCCCAGAGACATGGCCCTGCTCCGGGACCCAGCTCTGGGAGCTGGGTGGGTGTGGTCAGGGGTAAGGGGGGGCATGAGGTAAAAAGTAAAAACTGCTTTCAGCACCCCCACCATATTAAAAAAGTGTTCCAGCACCACTGCCCAGCCCTGGGCTGGCATTTGGGGGGCTGTAATCCAGCGCACTGTGTCTGCGCCATACCTGCCTGCCCAGTTACTGGATAGCGCACTTCCCCACCCCACCTGGCCTTGTCTGCACCAAGACGCCCCCGAGGTGTCGCTCCCCGGGGTGCAGCCCTGGAACAGACAGGGCTCAGGCTGTTCTCGCCCTGCGTGCTGGGTGCCCTGCACTGGCATTAGCTCCAGCTGGGCCCTGGGCAGTGTCACCCTGTAGAGGGGTTTGGCCGGGGCTCGTCCCTCTCCGGGGCGGCGGGGAACCACACCGCCTCCCTACTTCTTTCAGTTGTGACGGGGAATTAGCCTGGCCGTGGGGGTCTTGCGCTGCGGCAGCAGTAGAGGCAAAACATAACAGTTATTCACACCCGGTCGGCGGGCAGTAGTGAGTCACGGGCTCAGGTCCTCAGCCAGAAGCTGAGCAACTCTTATATAATGAGCAGGCCCCGGCCCTGGGGCGGAGCAACAAAGAGTCAATGGCTCAGGCCCTCAGGCAGGGGCTGAGCAAACAGGTAAACAGCAGACCCAGGCTCCTGGCTCCGAAGGGCCTGCGAGAGGGGGAGACTGACACCCACAAGTTGGGTGGCAGGGGGGATGCAGGCCCACCCACTCCACTGCGTCCCAGCCCGGGGCCCTAGCAGCGGTAGAAGACCTGCTGCGGTGTCAGTGGGATCCCAGCCGCAACACACTGACATTGGCTCTGGCAGTGCTGCAGCCAGACTAGGGTCGGCTGCCCCCGGGCTACTTCCTAACTCCCCCTCTAGAGGTACCTGGGTCCGGACAGTGTCCTCCAAGGGGTCAAGCACCATGGGCCCCTCAGGGTAACTGGCAAGCGGTAGGCTTGGCAGCTTCTCTGGGTAACTTGCGAGGGGCAGGCTTGACAGCTCCTCTGGGCTCTGGTCGTCATCAGATATCAGCTGGTCCAGCCAGTCTTCGGGTTGGCCACAGATTGCCGGGGTCTCCCAACCAGGAGCTAGGCCACAGGCATCTGGCCTCTCCGGTGGCTGTTCTTCTAGTGAGCTCTGGGGTTGGGCTTTTATACTTCCTGTCCTGCGCCTTGACCTCTGGGGGGCGGGCACAGGATTCACTGGCTCCGCCCACTTTGGTGTCTGGAGAGGCTCGTCCCTCTCTGGGGCGGCGGGGAACCACACCAACTCACTACACACACCCCCCCTCAAGTCTGGCTCCCGCTCATCGGGGCCAGACCCTTCGAAACCTCCCAGGCAGGACAGAAAGTCTGCATTCGCGTGGTCCTTACCCACCCTATGGCGAACAGTAAAAGCATAGGGCTGTAGTGCCAGGTACCAGCGCATTATTCTCTTATTATTATTTTTCATTTTGGCCAGCCACTGTAGCGAGGCGTGGTCGGTGACCAATGTGAACGGGGCCCCGAGGATGTAATAACGCAAGGCGTCACAAGCCCATTTCACTGCAAGGGCCTCCTTCTCTACCACCGCATAGTTATTCTCCCATGGAAACAATTTCTGGCTAATGTACAAGACTGGGTGTTCTTCTCCATCAACCTCCTGGGACAGGACGGCCCCAAGTCCTACCTCCGAGGCATCCGTCTGGAGGATGAACTCCCAGTCTAAGTCTGGGCTATATAGGACCAGTTCGTGGCAGAGATTCTCTTTGAGTGTCTGAAAGGCATCTTCGCACTCCGGGGTCCAAACTACATGCCAGGGGCTGTCCTTGGTCAAAAGCCCAGTCAAGGGGGCTGCAATAGACGCAAAGCGGGGAATAAACCACTGATAGTAGCCGGCAAGTCCCAGAAACTGTCGTGGTGGGAGGTGGGCAGGCCGCCAGGGCCTGAACCTTTCCCACGCGGGGCTTCACTTGTCCTCTCCCGCTGGTATACTCAAGATATGTGGTCTCTTGCCATCCAATGCAGCATTTTTTTGGATTGGCCGTCAAATCAGCTGCCCGCAGGGACCTCAGGACCGCAGCTACCCACTCTAGGTGGTCCTCCCAATGGCAGCTGTAAACAACCACATCATCTAGGTATGCTGCAGAGTACTCTCGGTGGGGTTGGAGGAGGTGTACATCAGCCATTGAAACGTTGCCAGGGCCCCATGGAGGCCGAAGGGCATTTGAGTAAACTGATACAGGCCCGTGGGGGTGGCAAATGCGGTCTTTTCCCTGAGGCGGGGCCGAGGGGGATCTGCCAGTATCCTTTGCTCAGATCGAGGGTGGTGAGGAAGCGGGCCTCTCCCAACCGTTCATCTACCCAGGGCATTGGATACGCATTGAACTTTGAAATGGCATTGACGCGTTGGAAGTCGATACAGAAATGCCGTGTGCCATCGGGCTTGGGTACCAGCACTACTGGGCTGCGCCATTCGTTCTGCAATGGTTCAATGACTCCCAGGTCTAGCATAGCCTGTACTTCCTCCTCAACGACTTGCCGCATGCGGTGCGGCAAGGGCCTGATCGACTCCCGGATCACCACCCCAGGCTCCATCTGAATGGTATGATGAACTAGGGTCGTGTAGCCCAGTTGGACTGTGAAGGTTCATGGGAACGCCTGCAGGAGGCACTGGGTCTGCTTACGTTGCTCCTCAGTAAGTGTCTCCTCGAGCTGGGGTCCGGCGGGGTCCTCTGTCAGGGGTACACGGGGGCCCAGCTCTTGCTCCGGCGGGTGGGGTTAATTAAAAGGCTCTCTCACTCCCGCTAGGGCTTTAGGAGGTTGACAAGGTATCGTTGAGTTTTCTTGCGCCGGTCGGGCTGGTTGATCTCATAGGTGACGGGCCCGACCTTTCGGACCACCTCATAAGGCCCTTGCCAACGGGCCAGTAGCTTTGACTCGCTTGAGGGCAGGAGGAGCAGAACCTGATCGCCAGGTCTGAAGTCACGGATCCACATCCCGGTTGTAGGTTTGGGCCTGAGCTTCCTGTGCGGCCTTCAAGTTTTCCCAAGCTAGGGCTCCTGCCTGAGTGAGGTGTTCTTGAAGCTGGAGGACGTACTTCAGAAGGCCCTGGGTTGGTGACGGGGCTTGCTCCCAGGTCTCACACATGAGGTCCAGCAGCCCCCGTGGACGACGTCCATACAATAACTCAAAGGGGGAAAATTTCATGGAGGAATGGGGTTCCTCACGGACTGCGAGAAGCAAGGGCGGGAACAGTTGAACTCATCGACGTAGGTCTTCTGGGGGAAACTTGTGCAGCATGTCCTTCAGGATACGATTAAACCGTTCAACCAAGCCGTCGGTTTTTGGGTGGTAGATGGAGGTGCACAGCTGCTTAATCCCCAGGAGGTCGCGCATCTGCCACAGCAGCCTGGAGGTGAAGTTGGTGCCCTGGTCAGTGAGGATTTCCCAGGGCAGGCCCACACGGGCGAAGACCTTCACAACTTTGTCAGCGATGGTACTGGCGGTGATGCTCCGTAGTGGGACTGCTTCGGGGAAACGGGTGGCATAGCCCACGATGACCAGCACATACTGAAATCCCGCAATGCTTTTTGGGAGGGGTCCCACCAAATCCATTGCCACTCGCTCGAATGGTGTTTCTACAATGGGCATGGGAATCAATGGGGCCTTGGGCGTCCGTGGGGAGCAGCTAGCTGACATTCCAGACAGGAACTACAGTAGTTCCTCACCTCCTGATGCACCCCGGGCCAGAAGAACCATGTCAGAATTCGGGTGAGGGTCTTTTCATGGCCCAAGTGCCCTGCAGCCGGGATGTCGTGGGCGAGTTTCATTACAGCTCGTCGGTGACATCGAGGCACAAGCAGTTGGGTCTGGAGCTCTCCGGTGCAGGGGTCTCGTTCCACCCGATAGCGACAGTCGTGGCGCAACTCGAAATGGGGCCACAACTTTGCCTGGTACGGATAGATCAGGGTCCCATCGACACTAGCTGCTCATACGCTCGACAGAGGGTAGGGTCCTCCCTTTGGTCCCGGCAAAAGTCGGTGCTAAGCCTGGGTTCGATGGCGGGCCCCAGCGGGGGGTCCTTGGTCTCTCCTCCCTGTCCGTTGGGGTCCAGTTCCTCCCCTTCCTCTGAGCAGGTCTCAGGGCAGCCCCCTTCCAGTGCTGGGGTGACCTCAGGGCCTTCCTCGGCGTTCAAACAAAGGACCCCTGGGAACTCTGGCCAATCACATCCCAGGATCACCGGGTAGGCTAGTTGAGAAGCCAGGCCGACTATCATCAGCCGTGTGACCCCCATCCACGGTTAGCCGGACTCGGGCACTGGGGCAGGGCCGTACGTCACCATGGATGCACTGCAGCCGGATCGTCCCCAGGTGCGGGTCAGCCGGGAGGCCTAAGCTTTGACAGATTAGCATCTGGCCGCAGCCTAAATCAATCAGGGCCAGGGTCGGGCAATCCCCTACAACTACTGGCACCGTAATCTTGGTGGCCTGCGGCCGTTGGGCGCAGGTTTCCCCCGCACAAATGTGACCGAAGCTGCAATCCATCTCGGTGCAGTCACATTGCAAGTGTCCGTATTTCCCGCAGGAGAAACAGGGTCCGAGTTCTGGGCGCCCAGGTCAGGGCCCTTAGGGGGACTTGTTGAACCAGCACCTTGGGACGTCTATACCGGGGCTCCTGGCCCCGCGAAGGAT